TCTGAGAGGTTAAAAAAAAAAATTATTCTCTTTTACTACTATGAAATCTCAATTAAAAATGTCAAAACAAAAAGATTAATACCAGGAATTCTGACATGATTATATGCTTAAACATGTTCTTTTAAACATGTGCACAAAGAGCTGTTAATCCCTAATGATACAGCCTTATCTCCACAAATGTGGAGAAAGCGGCAAATCACATATCAAAATGCAACTATACGCAGTTTGCAAAGGCTTATGCTAGTTAACACGCAGTAAACATTCCCTCTTTAGCACTGAGCAAAATATGAAAAACTAGGAGTAACGGTTACTTTGATTAATTCTAGTAGCTGTTCTGTTTATGAGCAGTATGGATACAACAGCACTGATTTATGTTGAGAAATTCACTGTTTATATATAAATATGAGGGTGAGAGAAGGAAGAATTAGTCTCTCAGACCATGACCCCTCCTCTCCCTAAGCGTATCTGGAAAAATCAAAACTAATTTTAATAAACCATGATTTGCCTTAGTTTGAGCCCTTCTTTTTAGGTGTACACACGACTGTCTTCCTTTCCCTGTTCTGTTTTTGAAAGGCCTTCATAATTTATTTGAAGCTGTATTCCCTGCAAATATTAAAACAGAAAGCACAAGAAATGTAAAAAATGACAAAGACGTAATATTTGCAACCAGATAAATGCCACTTAGCATGGAGAGATACACCTATACAGCCAGGAAGTGGGGGAGGGAAAAAAAAAAGTAAAGACCTGCTAATACAGAGTTACACCCAACAAAACATTTATAGGGAAAGTTATTTAGAACGAGCAGGGCCAAAAGCACTGTAGAGACAGAAAAGCCCACTTTGCCTCTACTTGACTTGAGGAAGGGAATGTCTTGGGATATCTAATAATGTTTCTTCAAAAGCAACATCCCTGACAGTCATTACTCAGCCTCACAGAGAAAGGGGAGCTGTGTGGAATTCATCGGGTTGCAGAATAACCTGAAGAATTCCAGTGAACTGATAAAACATTCACTGCTGGTCTACAACCAGCATGTCACATCATAGTAATCCCAACGTATCAACCCTCTCAACACCTCCATTAGCAAACAGAGCAAAACAGTGTTTTACAGTCACTTACCTTATAATATAACCAACAAGATGATCAGTGTGTGGAAGTACAAAGAGGGATTTTCCAGAAAGGTCACAAGCATTGCATAAAGCTGCTGCTCTCTCTGATGCAATAACATCTTCCCCTAGTGAAGTGAAGGAAAGCACAAGTGAAAGCAGTATGCAGTGCTGCAATGTCAAACTGGCTCTAAAAGCTTGACCAGCACAAGGATTGGAAAAAATCCAATACACATAAAATCGAGACCACATTCTTTCTTACTTCTTTCAGAGTACTATGTGCTTCATTCAGCAGAACCTTTCTAGGAACAGCTTAGCTAGCAACAAGGTAGAAGTATGACATAAACTTTTCATCTCTCTCACAGAATTAAACATCCTGCGTCTTGAAAACTACAATAGCATCCAGAAAAGACAAACATATATAGCAGGTAGGGGGAAAAAAGCAACAAAAAGTAAAAAATGGTTTGCCAGCCACTAGAAAGTATGCAGCTACAGCTGAGGCAGCAGCTCTACAGAAACGTAAGTTTAAAACATACCACATTTCACACTTGACTCCAAAATTTTATTGATTAAAACTGAGTTAAACTAAAAGGCTTCTGTAGGTACCAAATACCCTTCCTCTAAGTTCTCATTGCTTTTTAAAATACAAATTACTTACAAGGAGGTATGTCATGTGTATTACACTAACATACCATTTTTTGATACTGTGTATCAAAAGATGCACTTGGACTTAAGAGGAAGAAGTTAAGGATAAAAGTATCAAATCCATTTTTATTCCTTTCTGCAGCCACAATGCACGTCATATATATAAATGACATTATATTAAGAACTGCAGATAATGTCACAAATATTAGTCAGCTCAGTCTGTCAGGCCTTCTGAAAAACGAGACCATCACAACTGTGTACAGAGTTTTCTAGTACCTGGAGGTAATGGTGTTTTTTTCTGAATCAAAACCACAGCAACTTTCGTATTTCTTCCCTGCAAGCTTTGCCTACAATAAAAACAACAGGGCACACTGTCAAGGTTTCACTTCTTGTTGGTGAATAATCCGAACAAAATGATCTTTCAGTCTAGATGGAAACATTGAAAGAATGCTATATAAGAAATAAAACCAAACACAACAACATGCTGCATCATCCACAGAATGCTGTGTTCTCTTCTTTGTTCAGATGGGACAGAACAATTGTGCCTAGTTTAGCAAGCAAAATTTCAGGGGCTGTTTTTACTCAAATCACTTCTAAAAATAAACCATTTAAAAAAAAGTTTCTTTACTGCCAGTTGTACTTCAAAAAGCAGAGTTCAAGTTCCCCTTAATTTGCGTTTAAGAAAAAAATTAATATATTCAAATAGCTTAGCATGCAAAAAGGATTCTGCAATTCACATTTATCATTAGCTTGTAGTACATTATGAGCCAAGTGAAAAAACTCTACCTGACAATTTCAACTCGAGTAGCACATTCCGACTGTTTTTCTTTCCATTGCGGCTCATCCCAGTCTAGTTCATAGAACACCACAACAAGTGCTGGAACCAAATTCAGGTGTTTGTTCATCCAGCCAGTCTTCAGGATTCCTTTTGGAATATACCATTCATAAGATGTCCTCTGAAAATATTGAGGTTATTAAAGCAAGTTACCAAATCCATTTACCAGCCTCTTAGTATAGCACAAGAAGGGGAATTGCCTCTACACTCCTGTCACTTGTGGATATGTTTGTCATCTTCCCCTCAAGCCTTTGCTTCCTATCAAGTAAGACATGCACCTCATTCCCTGGCATCAGGGCCTGATGCCTGAGATGTCAGCAACAAAGAACAGCAGAATCCAGGTAGACTGGAGAAGATGATCAAGTTCAGAAGCACGTTTCACACATCTTCACGAAAAACTAGGTTTATTTTAAAAGGGGGCTCTTGAGGGGCTCTCAGAGCCAGGAGAAACCAGTCAGGATTCTCATTCCTTGACAGCATCACGGAATGATGTAGTTTTCCAAGGGTTAAACACATTGACATTGCTTCCTAACTGCCACTGCAAAGCAGAAAGTAGAACAGAGATATTATTTCTGCTGCATTTCACTTAGTTAAAGGCTTTACATTTTTTTTTCAGAATACACCAAATTCAAATACCTAGTTTCTCCAGAGTTAAACTTTAGGTTTCATTAAAGCTCAAATTTTACAAGCATACCTTAAGGCTGAGTAAATGAATTGCAAGTACTTTAAAAAGCAAATCATATTGGCTTTCTCTGCTTCTCGCTAATAAGCTAAGGCACCCTGGCTTCCTATGCCTCCACAGCAGCCCACCACAGCGCCCTTGGCTTCCCCTTAGCCCTAACAATTTTTCTCAGACTTCAAGCTCCCACGCTTCCCCTCCAACCGCAGGGGAAGAGACAGCAGAAGTCCCGCTGAGCAGTAAGCACTGCGAGTGCTGCTCAGCTGCCTGTAAACCAGGCAGATCAGATCAGCCCCTGGCCTGGCTACGGCCCCCGCTGGTTTCTTACAGGGGGGCGCGCGGAGAAAAGCCAGTGGGGGGCCGGGCCCGCCAGGGCGCGGGGAGCAGCCGGGGCACACGCCGCTCGCTACCTTCGTCCTGCACTTAGGGTACTCGTGGTCGCCGGGGAGCACTTTGAAGGAGATGGGGACGCGGTCGGCCCTCCGGTTGGCGCAGAAGGCGTCCCACACGGCCCGGTGCACGGCGTTGTACACCACGTCCAAGCCGGTGAGGGTGACAAAGGCCATGGGCCGGCAGCACAGCTCCACCGGGAAGTCCCACTGCGTCAGGGTCATCCTGCGCCCGGGCAGGCGGCCTGCGAGGCGGCAGGAGGGCGGCTCTCAGCGCGGCGCCT